AAAAAATCGCTGAAAATTGCTAAAGATCATTTAGCACTTTTTGGCGTTGGAGTTTTAGCGATAGCGAGTGTTGGAATCCGGGTAGAGCTATGAATTTAAAACATACATCAGCATTTAGTTGATATGAGTTGACCACTACGTTCTGTACATTTCCCAGTACTGCAAAGCTTTTGACTGTCATTCATTTGGGAGTGGCCAGAAGTGATTCGCTTTCTTACGGTTCAAATCGCAGCTCACTACGTCCGGATATTTATATCTATGAATCCTCTGGGTAGCGAACGAAAACTATATAGTTTGGGAGCGAGTTAAAGTGGGAGGGCGTAACACCCCGCGAGCGCTGGGTTTGGGTCCCGGTACTTTACAACCCTGCCCAATGAAAAAAAAACACATGCCTCGGATGATACCCTCTTCTTTTGATGACGATCACGGCAAACATAGGATGGACTATGATTTGAGGGTATGCACCTGGAATATCCGAACCCTTAATCAGGAAGGTGCCAATTCCCGGCTGGTTGATGTCCTAGAGAAAATAAAGGATGACGTCACCGCCATCCATGAAAGTAAGCGTGATGCCTTGCAAAGTCTACTACTGTTGCCACGTAAAGGAACGCAAGTTGGTGTTAGATTTGTGGTGGGAGAGAGACCGGCGTTCACTCTAGTGGACGAACGTCTATCCACAATCCGTACCAAAGCGAGTTTCTTCTTCTCGCTCATATGTGCTAATGCCCCGATGGAAGAGAAGGACGAGGCATCTAAGGATCTCTTAACTTGGAGCGTACATATTAGCGCTGCTCCCGAATCGTGCTTGGCGATTTAAATACCAAGGTGGGCAACGAAGGGATCTTTTAGAATAGATACAGCGGGCTGAGACTGATCGACTTCACCGGGGCCCGAAACTTGGCAGTATGTAGTACTGGGTTCTAGCATAAAAGTATCCCTCAAGCTACATGAGTGTCTCCAGATTGAAAAACGGGAAACCAAATCGAGCATGTTGTGAAAGACGGAAGGCATGCTTCCAGTGTTTTAGATGTACATACGTACACTCCGAGGGCCAAACATCGACTCGCACCACTATATTAATGCAGCCAATATACAACCCCACCTCGGTGCAGCAAAAAAAGGGCCCCAATAGTGCAAAGAAAGTTCAACGTCGAAAAGCTGCAATCAAAACAGACGGTCAATGGATTCGCCGCTCGAATCTCACACCTGCTGTGAGAGAGCACTTTTCAGCAAAGCGAAATACGCGAGCAGTGGAAACACATTTCCCGCTCATTACTGGTATGAAGAGGAGTGCAGAGAAAAATGCTTGAAGTGCTGGCCGACAGAAAAAACACCCGAAATTATAAGCATAGAGTTGAGCGACTTTCGGAAGGTTTCAAGACTCCTGTAGGAACAACCATGCCGACCTAGAGACCGATGTCCAGAACATACTCAAATTATGGAGGGAACACTTTTCGACCCTTTTGAATGGCAGAAGCACAGAAAGTAGTGGAGAAGACGAACCCGGGCCCCAGTCATTGACGATGGAGTCGATACGNGTAACTCTTTTTGAACTATCTAGGAACTGTTGTTATATGAACTGTCTCAGAGCCATCTAAGCCAGAGTCAGCTCAGAACAAGTTCAAAAGTTCTGCAGAGGGCGACAATTGTCACTTCGTAGGACATCGCCATGTTAAAAAAGACAGTTGAAAGCATTGAGTTGAGATAGATGAAGAACCAGTACCGACCCTTTTCAGGCTAGCTCAGCTCAAGTTCTGAACCAGTTTGATTTGCTGCAGGGCCCTCAAACCCATACGGCTGTGTAAAATGACGTTGAGCAATACCATCAGCTTTGCCAGAATTGGGAAAGACCTCTCCGAGCCTTTCGCCACCAAACAGGGTTTTGAGACAGGGCGACTTCCTTTCATGTGGCTCCTTTAATCGATGTTGGAGAAGATAATAAGAGCAGCAGAGTTGAATCGCTCAGGAACAATTAACTACAAGAGTGTACAATTTCTGGCTTAGGCCGATGACACTGACATCATCGGTAAGAAAAACCGCAAAGTCTGTTCTGCCTTTTCCAAGTTGGACAAGGAAGCAAGGCGGATGGGTCTGGTGATAAAGGAGGACAAGACGAAGTATCTCCTGTCATCAAACAATAAATCAGCACATTCGCGCCTTGGCACCCACGTCCCTGTTGACAGTTATAATTTCGAGAATGTAGAGAATTTCGCTTACTTGGGAACCAGCATTAACACCGATAATAATGCCAGCATGGAAATGCAACGCAGAATCACTCTTGCCAACAAGTACTACTTTGGACTGAGTAGGCAATCCAGGAGTAAAGTCCTCTCTCGACATACGAAAACCACACTCTATTAGTCTCTCATCATGCCCGTGCTGATATATGGTGCAGACGCATGGACAATGACAACATCCGTGTAGGTGGCTCTTGGAGTATTCGAGAGAAAGATTTTGCGGAAGATTTACGGGCCTTTACGCGTTGGCGACGGCGAGTACCGCAGACGACAACGACATGGACATAGTGCAGCGAATTAAAATACAGCGGTTCCACTGGCTTGACCATGTCGTTCGAATGGACACCGACGCTCCAGCTCTGAAAGTATTCTGGCTTCACTTGGCATTTCCAACTGGCGTCAGTTGGTACAGAAGAGAAACGACTGGCGGCTTTGTTGAACTCGGCCAAAATCGCTTTGGCGGTTACAGCGCCAAATAAGAAGAATAAGAGAGTAGATCTATAACCTTACAAGTCATACAGTGTTATAATCCCGCCGAAATGCGGTGGTACCGGGAGGGGAACGGTACATCACGGTAGGAAGTTTAGTTTGGGTTAAAGTCTCACACTGACGGGGTTAGGCTTTCGATGCTTCCTCCACGTAAAATAAACATGCGCAGTAAAAAGTTAACTATTTAAATCGAAGAATAGTTTTATATCAACTTTTGTGAACTTCTGTTTATGTGTTTTTGTACAACATATTTACCTCTATTGGTTACAATAATTTTAAGCTACAATAAACAATTTTTTAGTAAGTTATTGGTTTTGAAATACTTTTTTTGTATAAAAAAGAACCAAATTATGTACGCACTNGTTCCACTGGCTTGACCATGTCGTTCGAATGGACACCGACGCTCCAGCTCTGAAAGTATTCTGGCTTCACTTGGCATTTCCAACTGGCGTCAGTTGGTACAGAAGAGAAACGACTGGCGGCTTTGTTGAACTCGGCCAAAATCGCTTTGGCGGTTACAGCGCCAAATAAGAAGAATAAGAGAGTAGATCTATAACCTTACAAGTCATACAGTGTTATAATCCCGCCGAAATGCGGTGGTACCGGGAGGGGAACGGTACATCACGGTAGGAAGTTTAGTTTGGGTTAAAGTCTCACACTGACGGGGTTAGGCTTTCGATGCTTCCTCCACGTAAAATAAACATGCGCAGTAAAAAGTTAACTATTTAAATCGAAGAATAGTTTTATATCAACTTTTGTGAACTTCTGTTTATGTGTTTTTGTACAACATATTTACCTCTATTGGTTACAATAATTTTAAGCTACAATAAACAATTTTTTAGTAAGTTATTGGTTTTGAAATACTTTTTTTGTATAAAAAAGAAAAAAGAACCAAATTATGTACGCACATACATACATTTGTAAAGCGAAATATAAACATGAACTTTTTGCGTAGGCGGCCTTCGGCCGCGCTTAAGAATAATTACAAAATTTATACAAAACTTCATAGCTGAATTGCCAAATAGATTAAATTATTACCGAGGTGCTTAGAATCGAGGTTACAAGAACTGGTGTTATTATTTGGCAACAAAAATGTCCGGTGTCAAAATGTCCGGTAACAAGCAGAATAGGCCTGTAAGTAGAATTCTCCTTTCTGTGTTGCCGGAAAAGGGGTGCGTAAGTATTTTTGCGCAGAACTTATTTTTGCGTAGGCGGCCTTCGGCCGCGTTTATGGACTATAACCCTTACTAAGTAGTCGGACCCCCCGTTCAAAATTTATCGGGCCACAAAACAGTATACTGAAAAAAACTCTAAAAAATCTGATTAAAATATTCCAAGTATGCATGGAAATTTATTGAATTTTCCTGAGTTTTGAACAGAGTTTAAAAATTTAATCTTTATGTTTTTTGTTATAATAGCAATAAAAAATAGCAAAAAAAGACTAAAATAGAAAATATTGTATATCGATGGATTTTTAATCCAGTGAAATTAATTTAAGTTTAAAACTTTTTGTTTCTTTATTGAAAAATAACGAGTTAGAAAAAACCATTTATTTTTTGTTATCTACTGGAAAAAAAATTTTTTGGTACACTCAAAACCGTTTTGGTACGGTTTCTGGTAGGGGAAAAAATATCTTAGTGGCAACACTACCACCAGGTCGCTTTCACTTCTTAACGCTCTGTATTATTCCACATATATGTAAATACTCCCATTGTTAACAATTTTCACTCACTAATCGTACAATAAAAATAAACTTGTACTTTTGTGCTTCATTTAAATAAAAAAAAATCGCAGTGTACACATATGTAAATTTTGTAGATGTATTGTGATATTACTTCCAATATAAAAATTTTGAGCAACCTTGATTTAGAGTATAAACCCAGCCAGCATAATCATCGTCAACGAGCGCGTAACTGGATATTTTCTCGAAGAAAAACCGGCTAAAAAGTCGTTTATGATAGCCGTTTACAATTCGTTTTCAAGTACTTTATGTATTATAAAATATTGTGGTTCAAGAAAAATTTCTAACCGAATGGAAATGTTTTCTTGTGCTGACAAATTACTACAAGGCTCTTTCTTTTTAAATTTTTTTTGTTTCGTTTACGAGCCTTTCTCTAACTTTTCGCCGATCGAGAATCCCTCGTAAAACATAATGTTCGTACAATGTACGTTTTCTTTCTGGCTGGGAAATGTATTTATTACACATATAAATGTACATATGTAGATTTTTAAATAAAAGTTTTATGATTTCTATTCCCTCTATTTTCAAAAAAGACTTGTGGAGGATATCTGAAGGACTCTTACGGTTATCTGAAGTCTCGATTAGAGGAAGATTGCGTATGGAAAATTGACTCCGAAGGCACACAAATTTTCTTGGATATATTACAATTAGAGTGTTTCTGCTCAAAGGCGTCTAATTGTAAAAATGGTTTGAGAGTAAGTTTTTAAAAATGCAATTACATACATATGTTCTTATGTATGTATATACAATGAACACATACATACATACTTTTAATAAAAACGTAACCGAATGCTATATTTTTAAGCTAATAAATGGAAATGATAAAAGCGCGCTAAACCAGTTTTGCGAAAATCATAGATCCAACATCGTTTTGCCCACAAACTCTTTGGAAGTACACGCTTCGCAAATCGAATTTACGGCCAAATATAGCGTAACACAAAATTCTTGCGGAGGCATACTTACGTCTTTGCGGGGCATATTGACCTCCCCTCTCTACCCGCAATCTTATCCATCTAATGTAGAATGTGTGTGGGAAATTAAAGCTGCGGCTGGCAATAATATAGAGTTGGATGTCCAAGAATTGGATATCAGATCTTCAGAGAACTGCAACCAAGATTTTCTAGAGGTACGTCAGGACAATGAACGTGGTAGGATGCTTCGTTTATATTGCTCCAACGATACAGGGACGGACAAAATAGTCACATTTGAGAAAATGTGGATCAAGTTCCGTACTATTGTAGGAAGCACAGGCGCTGGGTTCAAGTTGGCATGGAATTATGGTGAGTGAAGATTTAACCACTTACATACTAACATTATCATGTTCAAATGATTTTTTAATACTCGCCCAATTCTCTTGCCCTTCATTACATTAAGGGCCAATTTCAAATGAATATTTAAACGGCACTTAAGTTTAATTTTGGATTGTTATTTAAATACCATTTAACTTTCGTTGGGTTTCAGATCAGTTTTATTTAAATACTAGCAGACCCGGCGAACTTCGTCCCGCCCAGGGTAGCAAACTCATTTTTGACTATTTCCCGATTTCGTCGATGAAATTCCCCGATTTGGCTCGAAATTTCGTAGAATTCCCCAACCGTAGATATCTGCTTATTTACAAAAAAATGTTGAATGTATTTTGACATATTGTTGGTCTTTCTGTTTATTTTATTTTTGAATGTAATACATCTTTTTTTTTTAAACCAAACCTATTCTAAAAAGTTAGTTAACAAATGAAAAATAAAAAATGAGCATATAATATTTACATACATACATACAGTTGTCGAAAAAAATTTAGTCGCACAAGTTTTCACAATTTTTTTTTTGGTTATTTAATTTGAGTTATTTTTTACAAAAATATAGTTCATTCTTTAGCAAAACCCTTATAAATCCAAGTTTCATACTTTGCGCAATATTAAAAAAAAAAAATCAACAAAACGGCAAAACTAGAAAAGTCAAATGACAATTTGCAAATAGTGCTGCCATTGTTCTCTATTCGTTGCTTACTTAAATATTTAATAACTCAGGGCTGCATAATCAGTACTTTTCATTTTCACACCAATGCGTGTGGGTGTTCGCTGTTCTTTGTTTATGCGGAAAATGCAGAAAAGCGCAGTTAGTCAACGACGTAGCGTAAACGTAGGTTGACGTACGTAGCAGCATATAAAATTTACTGTTGATAGAGAAAGAGAGAAGCAATGGCAACGTCAACGCCATGCGGTGGTGAGTTTTCGTTAACACGCGAATCCCATAAGGTAGAACGTGTCTGCGTCAACCTACGCCTACGCTACGTCGTTGACTGTTTGCGGTTTTACAAACCACACTGGGGCTCTGCATGAATGCATCCCTGAATAAATCCCAGTGTTGCCAGGTCTTCGTCATGAGAAAACGTCACTCTTAGTCTGAAAAAACGTCATTTCCTACCCAAAAATGTCTTTTTCAAATGAATGTAGAAGAAATTGTGGAGCTCCACACCAAAACGTTTCATTTCCAAAACTCGAAATGTTAATGCAAATTCCTTGCATTTACTGGTATGTGTCCATATTTTAACAGAGGACCCGAGACAAAGCAACCACACCTTTATTGAGTCGTATTGAAATCACTCGATCGCACCAAAACGTAAAGCTGAGATCACACGATTGCCGTAAAAGCACCAATCTGAAACAATTTTTATGATGGAAATGTAGCATTTTGGTGTGGAACTCCACAATTGTTCTTATTAAACTTTTATTGTGTACAAAGGTATATATGTACGTAAGGTATATTAAAATGTCAATTCGACAGAGCACATTTAAAATTCATTGTAAACTGGTTTGAGATCGTTAATATAAAAATAATTTTATACATACACTTGTGATCAGCTGATTAAGTCATCAACATTTTGATCGATTTTGGCTGTTTCTCTTTCGTTTATTTAATATATATTATTTTTCCATAAAAGCCAAGCTCTTTAACAAACAAAATATAAATCCACAAAAACTGTACAAGAATTATAAAAAATCTGCAAATTTTCAGCTAGATTTTCAACTTTTTATTGAGATTTTTTAGATTTTTTTTGAGTACGCAGATAGCCCATTAAATTTCAGGGCAATAATGTGCAAGTTTAAAGGGGCGTTGATTTTTAATATTTGTTTCTTGTAGACATTTCGGTTGTCGAGAATGCTAAATTACGTTCTGCTAGGAAGGAGCATAACAATATTTCAGTCTTTTTTGCGTTCATTACATTTTCAATGTAGTCTTAAAAAAGTCGCCTACTTTTTCTGACGTTTTTTGCGGCACAGCTATTTTGATGCTTTTGCGAGCGTGCGTGTTGCAATAGATCGGCTCTTCCTGATTCGGCTTTTAATGTGCAATTGCAAACATTACAGCAAGCCTCGTAACCTCAAGTGTTTACACAACCAGCCTTTGAACACGGGATTCTTAGTCCAAGAATCCAAAAAAAATCTTTTGAAGCAGCTGCAGCAAAACACAAAGAGTGTAAAGGTTTATTAAGAAAATAATTCAAAATCAGTTCCTCTTGCAAGATTTAGTAACAAAGAAAAATCACTGGGAAGTTAAAAAACGTCATTTTTTACACAAAAAACGTCCAAACGTCAACAGGATAGAAAAAACGTCCAAATGACATTAAAAACGTCAACCTGGCAACGCTGAGCAAACTCCTCCAATGGAGTCCCCCAATTAATGCATGGTATCTCTCTCTCTCGCATAACAGGCATATGAAGTACGTGGTTGGCTTGAGGTGCACCTATACACCATACGGGCTCATTGAGCTCGATACACAACCACCCGCAAAGGTAATCCCTACCTCCTCTACTACTCTAACTCGACCACAACTCCGTGTAATAAAATTAATCATTGCCTGTTTANTCATTGCCTGTTTACTTTTACATAACGAATTTGTCGGAAGAGCAAAATTACACATAAAATGTTTAAAATAAAGTAATGTTTATTATTAGTAGGAAATGAGTAGTCCACTTGCAAACAGCGTTATGTGATTTTATAATAGAAAGCCATAAATTTTCAAAAGCGACTACGACAACAAGTAACATTTAAAATGAATCTTTTTTATTATTACCTGAAAATTTGGATAAATAGGAGCCTTATAAAATTGTAACATAACATAACATGTCATAAGATAACATTAACAGTCTATACGACCTAAAGCAGCTTTCTAAGTTCATCAGAAGATTGATACTTTTGAAAGTTCATAAATAAGTATGATAGCGACTTTTGGAAGAAGACTTAACATTTGATGCTATTTTTTCAGAATATAAAAAGATTTTGCACTCTGTTGTTAGTGGACATGAAACTACTTTAAATACTGGTACGTAATCCGCCAAAAACTAAGAATCGAAAAAATTTTACATAGCGCACTTTGCAAGTAGACTACTCAAATGTATTTGTAGTTTGAAAATTTTTGCAATTTTAAACATTCTATATATGTGTATTTATGTGTATATTTTAAAGATCTCAAGTTCAAAATCAAATACTGAACATCTTATACGTATATTTATACAGATTCTTGTTGAAAAATAGATACTTTTCAGTAGTAGTTTTACATGCTCTTTTTAGAGTGTACTTGCTATTTATTATATTTACTTTGCAAAATACTTATGCACAAAAAATGTACTTTATAAATTGAAATTACAAATGTTTCATTTTATGCACATGTATTCCAAGTCCTTAAGATGGGTTAAATTATGTCTTTTTCATGAAAATGTTTGGTTTTCTTACAAATTATGAGATGTATATGTAAAAAAAGAGAATTGGATACATTTGGATAAATTTTTGGCTTGGTCAGGGATACATTTTCTTGAGACGGCGCGGCAACACTGGTGGGCACTACCACAAACAAGCGTGAGCTAAAAGGGAGAATGTGTTAGTGTGCCTAATTCATTTAGCATTCTATTGTGTTCTCATCGCTGCCCAATCGCTTGTATACGTACACGCAGCGTTGCCGCCACTCAAAGAACTTTCTAAACAAGATTAGACGAAAAATTTACCAAATGTAAGGAAAAATAACCAATTTTTTTTATTAGATTAACAATTCAGGTCATCACACATTCTTTTATATAGTACGTATAGAACAAGTTTACAAACCAAAGAAAATCAATTTTTATTTGCATTTTTGAAAAGTAAATCCTTTTAGGGCTGTAATACGTAAATACATATTTTAGAAAATCATTCTTCCCGTATTAGATGCATATGTATGAATGTTAATATCTTCGTAAACAAAACTCTTTGTAAGAATCAATGAAATACCTAATCAGCGTGAGCATGTCTATATTTTAAGTTTAAGATTAAACAATTAAAAATTGGACTTATTAAACTATATCGTTGCTCAGCGCGAAATACTCGTATTCACCGAACGTAGTACCGCGTATACGACGGTAAATAAATTTTACAAAAGCGCAAAAAACCGATTTTTTCAAAACTGTGGAATGGTGTTTTCACTGAGCCTTCTTGCTATAAGATTATTATTATTAATCTTAACTTAAATTAATAAAGTAAGCAGTAATGGAAAAAGAATAACCAAATCCCTTCTTTATTGTACATATGTACATGACGTGGTATTGGATTCCCCATATACGAGGTATTTACATAAGTACTATCTAAGTATGCATTGATTGAGGAAGTCTTTAGCCGAACCTGTATATTATGTATTCTGTATATCATAAAAACAAATACATACATATGTCAGTAATATTAATGCATACATTCCAAATATTCTTATTTGGTTTCACTGCTGGGGCTGCCACTGCTACTGCTACTCTCCTCAACCTCGAGAGGTGTAGCTGGCCTATGCCAATTAAAAACTACAGTAAAGATTAAAAAATAACCAAAACGGGAAAGATCTTAACAACTTCACAGGCAAGAAAAACAACCAAAATTGGTTAAAAGTAACCAAAACGGCAACACTGCGTACACGCGACGCTTACGCTCTTTTAGCACCTGCTAACTCTCTGCCCATGCCTGTCTATGAGTATGGGATTGATTTCAACTAAATACATACATATCTCCATCAGTGATGAAATTGATGGTACAATTGTACTTTTTTGGTACATTTTGGAAGCCAAAAGTACATTGGTACTACATTGACATTTTTGATATATTTTTGTAATTATGTCGAAATACCACACTCTATTTACTTGGAGTTTTGAATTCTTGTGCATAATAATATAGTCATATTTTTGTACCATATTTAAATACGAGGTGTTTATTAAAAAACGAAACTCTTACTTAAATAAAAAAAAAATGCTGTCATAATAGGTCTTTTCGTAAA